TTCACACTTCGCGTCGATGAAGAGTTCGCGAGGGCCGACTGTGGAGCACCACGCCTGCGAGAGTTCCGCGGAGAGCCGGGGTCATGGGCGGAGGCGTCTTTCGAACGGTCAAGGAAAGGCATGCCATGTGAAGAAACAAAAGAGGCACGTGCAGAACTACACGGGCGCGGTGGATATGCGACCAGTCACAGACGAAGATCTAGTCAAAGGCGAAGACGAGCTGCACAGCGATGAAGAACTGGATCCGCGAATTGTCGACGCGGCGACTATACGGAAGACGCGCGCGGGAGGCACGCCCATGGAGAAAGAGAACAGGCGGACAAATGTAGACGCGGAGTGCGAAAAGGAGAAGAGCCGGGAGGCCGCGGCCAGGGGCGACGCCGTCCGGGGCGAGAGGACGAGTCGAAAGAACGGAAAGCGCAAGAAGCACGGAGGGGGCGGCGCGTTGAGGTGGGATGACGCGGCAGCGAAGAGAGCGCAAGCGACGGCAGCGGCGTCGAAGGCGGCAGAAGGAAGCGGCGCCGGGGAAGCGGAAGGTGCGCCAGAAGTGGTCGCGGGCAAGAAAGCGACGGCGTCGAGCGTGCGGAAGTGGATATCCGGTCTTGCAAAGAGCGGACTGCACGAGAGACAACGGAGCGTCGCTGAGAAGGTGGTCGATCGAGCGCCGGCACAAGAGTTTGCGAGGTCCGCGAAGGGTAGGAAAATAGGCCAGAGACTTTCTGAGATGCAGCCCCTCGCGTGGACGCCGCACGGTGGCCCGGGGGCGGGGGGGAGTTTCGTCGCAGACAAGATCCGGAAGGAGCTGTTCGAAAAGGAGCTGGGGCGGGCGCGCGGCGTAGATTTCCGGGTCGCCGCGTTACAGGCTACAAACGCGTCAGCTCTCGACGGGAATGCGATTCACAGTGCGTTTGGGCTCGGCGCGAAGAAAACGATAGAGAAAAAGGACGCGGCGGGCGATGGCAACGCAGAAGCGAAGAAGAAAACGAAGAAAGAGCAAACCGCGGAGCGCATGTCACAGTGGAAGTGGCTGATAGTGGACGAGGTGAGCATGGTCAGCGCGAAGTTCATTGCAGAGCTCGACTCACACCTGCGGTCCTGCATGTCAGCTGCAAGCGACGCGAAGGTAGGTGAAGACGGCGTAACCAGGCTTTTCGGGGGCGTGAATGTGTTGTTCTGCTGGGATTTCTATCAATTGGAGCCGCCGTCAGGGACAGCCATGAATGCGCTTCCGACGTCTCACTTGAAAAACGCAAGGAAATACGCGCCGGGCGCCAGGGAGGACCACGAACAGCATATCTTTTGGGGGGCGGGTGGCGAAGGCGCAGTGCAGGGAACGACAGAGTTGACAGAGTGCAAACGCGTGGAGAATCAAGACGATTGATTTCTCGCAGTGCAGGACGAGTTCCGCCGAGGGGAGTTGTCGGAACGCACGCGCAACTTTTTGCATGGCGGACCGACGGATGTTCCGGGGTCGTGGGCGAACGGCGCACCGATGTGCGGGAACACGCGTCGTCTTGAAAACAACGAAGCAATTGCGGAGAAGAACGAGCTCGAATGTGACGGTTGCAAAGCTGAGCGGGAAAAGAGAAAATTCGTTGCGACGTCGCCAGAGGACAGCGCGGTCTCGGGCGGGCATTCCTTGAAGCTGTCGCCATTTATGCGAATCAGGACATTCGTTGTCACGTCGGGAAGCAGGGAGCTGCGCAGTGGGCGAAGGAGCGAGGAGAACAACTGCTGCGGGTCGCAGCCAGGGGCCGCCCATGCCATGGCGGGGAACAGCGGCGGCCGCACACGGTGGAGGATAAGATACGTTGGCTGGGGGACCACGAGAAGGAGTGCGCAAGCTTGCCCGGGCGGCTGCCGTTGGCCAAGGGGATGCCCGCGGCTCTGGGTGATCACTTGGGTCGGTCGAGGAAGCAGCTTCTGCGGGGGCGCGCGGCGACGATCCATGGATAGGCGTTGCACGAGGATGAGGTCGTTGGAGATGAAGACGAGGAAGTATTGATGCATCTGCCGAGAGTGATTGTGTTGGACTTCCATACGAAAGAGTGGCACTTGCCAGGGCGGGAGCCGGGGCTGCATCCGATCTTCCCATCGAAAGGGCGGCAATGGTTCTTGGACGGATATCGGAAGCATCCAGTATTGAGTGCGAAGCGCACGCAGTTCATGATTACACCAGCTCTGGCAGTGACGGCGCACTCTGCGCAGGGCCGGACCATGGCTGCAGTGATAGCAGACCTTGAAAGAGGGCGCGGCGTGAGTTGGATGTCAAGCAACGTGGCCATCACACGCGTGCGAAGGCGGGGGAACTTATGGATTTCCAGGCCTTTCGATAGGAAGCCGCACAACGCGGGGGAGATGCCAGGCGCAGAGAAATTGTTGCAGGTGCTACGAGGGGAGAGCTTCGATTGGGACGAGTGGGAAGCGGAACTAAGGCCACGAGACCAGCGCGAGCGCTGCCGGCGGAGGTCGTTGGTAGAGGCGCCCACGAAGTACGAGTTCCAGAGGAAGGAAAGGCCGGCGTTTTGCAAAGAGCGCACGGAGGTGACGAAAAACGCTGACGAAAAATGGCGCGCAACGCGCAGAGGGTGGGCAACGAGAGCAGAGGGTGACGACGCGGCACGGCGCGGCGGGATCGCGCACGCGGCGGCCGCCGACGGGGAGGCGAAAAAAAGGGTTAGGACAATGTACTGCGCGAGATGCAGCCATGTCAAAGCCAAGCAGAAGTCGCGGAGCGCCAACGCGAAGTGGAACGAGAGCGTCGGCACTGTGCGATGCACGAACGGAAAGCGCCTGTCGCTGCACGATGAAAAGGCGGAGATGTCGGAAGCCCAGAACAAGCACAATGCTGCGGGGGAAAGGCTCTGTCGGAAATGCGCGGAAGACCGAGAGAAAGAGGCGCGGCGGCGGAATGCGGAGGCAGGGGGGGGGGGGCAAACGGAAAGCCGAGGCGGAAGCGAAGCCGCTGACGCGCGCGGCGTGCGGAGAAGCGTTCTCGGACACGAAACATTTGAAGCATAAGCAAGTGAAAGTTCATCGAGGGGCGAAAGGAATCAAAGTGGTGCGCGGAGGCTGCAAGGAACTCGGGCTCACAGCCCGCAGTTGCCAGGCGTATCAGCGCAGCGGCGCGTGCAAGAGGAGACTACCGAAGTCGGCGTTCCCCGACCCGCACAATGTCCCACGCGACGGAAAAAAAAAAAAAAAAAAAAAAAAAAAAAAAAAAAAAAAAAAAAAAAAAAAAAAAGTGCAACACATGCAAATGAGGCCGAATCGGGCGCGCGTACTGGGGGAAAAAGGAAGCGGGGACAGGAGAATGGGAGATGAGGCGGAGGATACGGGGGGGCATCATAGAATATGACGAGGTGAAGCGGTCCAGGAAACAGAGGAGGGGGGCGAGGACGAGGGGGGCGAGGAGAGGGTGGAGGAGGAGGAGGAGGAGGAGGAGGAGGAGGAGGAGGAGGAGGGAGACACTGAGAGGAGGCTCTGGGATATGGGTTGTGGGTGAGAGGTTGTTGTATATGTATCAGTATTTCGCGGCACGCCTCTCGGGGGCCTCTGGAAAGCAGTTGCGAAGCCACTGGGTGGCCGAGGTGAGAAAGGAGGGCGGGGGGAAGAAGGAGGGGGACACGGAGGACATGACCTGGGTCATTGGTTATTGGTCAGAGGTTTTTTGCAGGTGTCTCGGGATCTCGCGGTTCGCCTCTCGGGGAACTTTTTGAGGCAGTATTGGGGGCCGTTTTGGGGCCGTGTAAGGGCCTCTTGGAAGCCTCTTGGGGGCGTCTTGGGGGTTTCTTGGACCCTCTTGGGGTTTTCTGGGGCCGTTTTGGGGCGGAAGGCTCGGCCTGTGGGTTCGGGTTCCCCCTCTCGGGGCCGTCTTGGGCCATCTTGGGGGCCTCTTGGGCCGTCTTGGCGCCCTCTGGGGCCGACTTGGGCGCATTTTGGGGGCCTCTTGGGCCGTCTTGGGGCGGCCTTGAAGCGCTGCTGGATTATCTTCAACGCCGCGAAGGCCGGCAAGTCGTATATGATCTAAATGTACGCGTTCCCATGGAAATTTGACGATTGTCGGCTCTTCTGCCCTTCCGAGGACTGCTCTTGGAGGCCTCGTGGGCCGTCTTGGAGGCCTATTGGCTCGTCTTGGGGCCATGTTGGGCGTCTCGGAGCGCTCGTTGGGCGTCTCGGGGCTCCGTGGGCCGCCGTAGAGGCGTCTTTGAGCCTTCGTGGCCCGTCTTGAGCCCCTTTTGAGCCCAAAAGAGCCCCGTGAGTCGCTCGGCGTCGGCACGGGGGGGAGGGTCAAATCTCCGGTTTGGGGTCCCAGGGGGGGGGTAGGGGGGGAACTGTCTCACACGCTTAGTGACCCACAAGGGGTCGGCGGACATGCGGTTCGTCGCGGCAATCTGCCATGACCGGCCCCAATACTCTGCGCTGTTTTCTCTTACTTGCCAGCGCACTGCTGGAGGCGCTGAAAAATATTCCCGCCCTTCCATTTTTATTGGATGTCCTTGGCTAGGACGAAGATCTAGCGTTCGGCCCCTCCCCTCCCGATTTAAAACGAAGTTTAAGGAGAAGCTGCATAGCGAACGCTATATCCGACGCTGTCTTGGCCCCAGGCAGCGCTGTCCTATATGCGAGGCGCGCGCGATTTTGCGCGCCTCAATTGGGATCCTAGCAACGGACAAAGGTCACGTTTTTCTATGACCCACTTCCCATTCCCAAGGTTCCTCTCTTACCTCTCGTCTTGCTTGCCATCAAGGGATGAGTTGTGGGATACTTCGATACGTCGCCGACGCTATCCTACGAGTAGTGTTCTCAACTTACTACCTTACGGTCACGCCCTGTACCCCTTTTCACTGAGGAGTATCCGAAGCGGCCAGAAATAATGCCAGCGAACGAAACCGTCGCCTTCGGCGCATGGCCGCGCCCGCCGCCTGAAGTCAAGGCGCGCTGGTCCAAGCGCTCTGCCTGCCCCGCCTTCCCGCCCACTCTTCTCCTCCGTGCCCCAGGCCCGACTGAACCGCGAGTACCGCAACGTGCGCCGCAGCGCCTGCACGGCGCTCAGCCTGCAGCTGTGGGACACCGCCCCGCCTGGCGCCCTCACGGTTGGGGGGCGCGCCGCGTCGCGGCGTGCCCACGCGGGCGGTGGAAGGAGGATGGGGTGGGGGGGTGGAATTCGGGGAGGTGGGGGAAGGGATTCGGGCATGACTGCCACCACGCCACCACCACCATAATCGCCACCACTGCTACCGCCATCCCCACCACCAGAACTATTGCCGCAACGTCTGCCGCGCTGTTGCCACGGCAACCAGACCGCTCCGAACACGCCCACCATTGCCGCGATAGCGGCCGCGACCGCCGCGGCAACTTGCCGGCCCTGGGGGACCAGAACAGTATGTGCTGCGCACGGAGATTCCCCCGGATGTCCCATGCCGCCGCCCGCCCCACACCCCGTCCCCCTTTTCTCTCCTCGCTGATAATATATTCAGCGCGGGCTCGTCGCTCAAAGGGGCAATCGCGATCCTGGAGGATTTTGAGGCCCATTTACAGTCAGTCTGGGATCTTCAGATCAAGCCTTCTAGTAGATCGTGCCTCGTGCCACGGGGCAGTATAGATGCACCGCACAAGTCGGAAAAGTGGCCGCTCAGCGCGGAGTTTCATGCCTTGGGTCACACGTTCCAGGACAAAGGCTCCACCCAGGCGTGCTGGCAGCGGACGTCCAGGTCAATGTGGAAAGCATATTTCGGGAATTGCGCTTCCAAGGTCGCCTTCAAGATGCTGGCGGCTCTTCGGTACACTCTCATGGACCGATTTGTTTCGCATATTATGCAGCATCGCGGCACACAGTGGCCACCTACAGCGTTGAGGCAAACGCAAATCAACACAGTGCCAAGGAAGATGGTCAGCTCCATTATGCGTCTTTGCCCGCGTGCCCATGAGGGCTCAGTTGAGTACGTACGACGAAGGAACAGGCAGGCTACGACCATCATGGGCCAGAGAGGAAGATGGAGCACAAAGCATTGCAAGCGAATGGTAGCTTGGAGCGAGCATCTGACCCTGCCCCGAAATGGCAACTCATGGGCCGCAGTCCTCCTGAAGTTTCGAGAGCAGTTGGCTTGAGACACAGCGACTGCTCAACAGTTCTGGTTCCGAGAGCCGCATTTGTACTCGTGCCGCCCGAGGTTTCGTCGCCATGCGCTGGCAGGACGGCTTCAAGATAGCGGCACAGAAGTGAACTCGCTTTCTGTCGATTGTTTTTGGTAGTCTCCCCCCCGCTGTATGCGTCCTTCCTTTGCCTCCCCCTCCCCCTCCTCCCTCTCTTCCTTGAAAAGGCCGTGGGGCAAACATTGTGTGAACGCCCCGGCGCGGTCCCATGAGAGGCCGACGGGCAAACATTGTGTGAATGCCCCGGCGAGGTCAGAGGGTAGTTCCCGCCATTGGTTGGGCGAACACGTGTTTAAGAATTCCTGTGCACACGTGTGAGAGTGGCCAACGCGTCGCTCGTATGTGGGCTCATCATATCGTAGCGTGCGAGTCTTCGGGCTGATACCGCCCCAACTGAACTGAACTGAACTTTTCTCTCCTCTCATCGTTCTCGTCGTTCCCCGCAGTCGGGTCGGACGAAGCGGGGGGCATGGGGGGTACGAAATTTGTTGTATGCAGCTGGTTGTGGCCCCGCCACCCGGCGCTTTCCTCGGTAGAAGCACAATTTTCAGGCATTGTAGACGTTTCGATTGAACCGAAAACAAGGGGAAATTCACAAATGTTTGATTGAAATCTTGTGCGTCACAAAGCAAAGCGAAGGAGAGAGGGGAGAGGGTAAGGGCAGGGGGGGAGCGGCTGAAGGGGAAGACAGGGGACGTGGAGGCGGGGGAGCGGGAGAAGCAGAGGCGGCCTCCTAATGGGGAGGGAGGCTGCCGGCCCGCTCCTCCCCGGCGCCCCCGCGTTCGCGATCCCACGGGCGTGCCAGGACGCTCTCCTCGTCCGCATTGGCATCGAGCGGCTGCCTGACGTGTGGGGCGCAGGCGCGGGGCAGGGCGGCGAAGAGCTGCGGGGGAGGGGGGCAGGGCAGGGGAAAACACGGGAGGGGGGTGGAGGGGAAGGGCCAGGAGGGGCGGGGAGGGGGGGGGCGGAGGGGGGGGGGGAGCGGGGGAGGCAGGTTGAGGGAGAGACGTGAGGGGAAGAGTCGAGTGGTGGCACTGGTGGGGGTTGCCTGGGCTGATCAGCGATTCAGCTCACAGGATGCGTCACGAGGAAGTGAGGACGGTCGGGGAGCATCTGCTTCGGACCAGGTCAGACTACCATCTACACTCAGTCGTCCACTCGTCAGTCCTCCTACACTATCAGTCGGCAGCTTCTTCGATCCAGCACAGCACTCACACTTCCTAGATGTTTCCCCTGAGCCATCTGGGGCATAAGTTGCGTTAGTCCCATGTTTGCTTTGCCGAAATATTGCCATCGCTGAAAATTCAGAATTACTCGACGCGGGGCTCCCCATATGTGCATCTCATTCTCTTGGTACGTCTTTCTACTGATATCTGTCAATGAGCGCCTGTGTGCGAGGGCGAACCGCTCGCTCGAGACATTCCCACAGTCTGCAAGCATGAGTGCGACCAATAGCAAATCTGAGAGCGACTGATTCTGAGTGTGAGTTAATCTGGGCGCGATTGAGCCTGGGTTTGATTGGGTATGCGTGTGAGTAAATATGAGCGCGAGTGCGTCTGTGTGCGAGTGGGTCTGAGTATGGACGAATCTGAGTGTGAGCCAGTCTGTGATTGAGCGGATCGTAGCATGATGAGTCTGAGCATGAGTGAGTCTGGGCTTGAGTGGGTCTGAGTGTGAGAAAAAGTGTGTGTTAATGAATCTGAGTGCGAGTGAGCCGAGTGTGATTGGGTATGGATGTGAGGCAGTCTGAGTGTGAGTCGGTCTGCGTTTGAGCGGACCGAAGGATGATGAGTCTGAGCAGGAGCGAGTCTGAGTATGAGTGGTTCTGAGCGTGAGTCTGAGTGTGAGTAAGTTTAAGTATGGATATGAGCGAGTCTAAGTGCGAGTGAGCCTGCGTGTGACTGAGTCTGAGTATGAGTGAGTACGAATGCAGAAGAGTGAAGGAGAGCGGAGAGCGAAGGAGAGTGAGGCGGAAGCGTTTGAGTAAAACCTAAAGCCTTGGAACATCGAACCTCGATCGTCTGGCCTTGGCTACTCGAGTTGCCCACGTCCTCCTCCTCCTCCTCCTCCTCCTCCTCCTCCTCCTCCTCCTCATCATCATCATCATCATCATCATCATCATCATCATCCCCTTCCTGCTTCTGCTCCTACCGTGTTCATGCGGTCCTCCTTCTCATCCTCTTCCTCCTCGTCCTCTTCCTCCTCCTCCTCGCTTCCTCCTTCTCTTCCTCCTCCTCCTCCTCCTCCTCCTCCTCCTCTTCCTCCTCCTCCTCTTCCTTGGGAGTGCTGAAACCAGCAAATTGCCTGAGACATCATTCCAAAACTGCTCCGAAAACGACAGATGCCCAGCATCATAACGGCAAAACCGCTTGAGACATCCCCGCAAATTGGGCGCGAACGTCTTCCAAATCTGCTCCGAAAGCGAAACATATTGGAAGAGAAAATGGCCAAACCGCCTGAGACATCCCCACAAAATCCAGCGAAAGGGGCCGAGTGAAATACCCCCCCCCCGCCGCTCCCCTTAGAGTGCTGAAACCAGCGAATCGCCTGAGGCATCCTCCAAATCTGCTCCGAAAGCGAAACATGTTGGAAGAGAAAATGGCAAAACCGCATGAGACGTCCCCACAAAATCCCGCGAAAGGGGCCGAGTGAAATACCCCCCGCCGCTCCCCTTAGAGTGCTGAAACCAGCGAATCGCCTGAGACATCCTCCAAATCTGTTCCGAAAGCGAAACATGTTGGAGGAGAAAGAGGCAAACCCGCCTGAGACATCCCCACAAAATCCCGCGAAAGGGGCCGAGGGAAATACCCCCCCGCCGCTCCCCTTAGGAATGCTGAAACCAGCGAATCGCCTGAGACATCCTCGCAAACTGCTCCGAAAGCGAAACATGTTGGAAGAGAAAATGGCCAAACCGCATGAGACATCCCCACAAAAATCCGCGAAAGGGGCCGAGGGAAATACCCCCCGCCGCTCCCCTCAGGAGTGTTGAAGCCACAGAATCGCCTGACACATCCTCAACATCAGTGCGTGTGTGTGTGGGTCATCCGATGAGTGGACCTGAGTGAGTGTAGTGAATGTATGAGTACAAGTACGAGTGAGTCTGAGTGATGAGTGAGTCTGAGTGATGAGTGAGTCTGAGTGATGAGTGATGAGTCTGAGTCATGACTGAGTCCGAGTGATGAGTGGGTCTGAGTCATGCGTGAGTCTGAGTGATGAGTGAGTCTGAGTGATGAGTGAGTCTGAGTGATGAGTGGGTCTGAGTGATGAGTGGGTCTGAGTGATGAGTGAGTCTGAGTGATGAGTGAGTCTGCGTGATGAGTGAGTCTGAGTGGGTCTGAGTGAGAGGAGTGGTGTGTTCTCGTCTGTGTTCTCCAGGCGCGGTCCGCCAATAACAAGACCCCCATACTTAGGATATGGGGAATCACTAAAGATTTGAAGACATGACGGGGTATCGAATCCCAAGCGACAGATTCGTGACGGTGCGGATCCAGAAGTCGCGTGCCCGATGAAAAGTTGCGCTATGCACAGCCACTTTGCCTGTGTTGGAGACAGCTTGCTCCCAGCACACTCCAAGGGGGGAGGGGAGGAGACCGCGTGCTGCTACTTCTACTTCGTGGCACCACGTATATTGTGGAGGCCATTCGCTGATGCCCTCTGGGAAAAAATTGAAGGGCGAGGCACGGCTGCACGCATCATTTCGAAGACCGCCTCTCGCTTGGGCGGCTCGGCCACGCCGCAGTGGGTTGTGCTCGGTCGGTTGTGGTGTCGTCGTTGCATCCTTCTCGGTTGCGTTCGCTTGATTCGGTTTCGGACGGTTTCGTTGTCGCTGTCGTTTCCGTTGGTGTTCGGTGTTGGTGTCACCGTGGACGGCCTTGCTTGAGGTCCCTTGGTGCCGTAGCAGTTGGGACACCAGAAATATAGCCTCGCAGTGTACGAGCACAGTTCAAGTCGCCACGCGGAGATCTGTCCGAAAAATGAGCTGGTCGGGAGAGCGGGGTGCTCGCGACCTTTGTGCTCTTGGCGCCGCGCGCCCGTGCAAGGCTGCCGGGATCGCGATGCCCATCTTGTTGTGGTGGGCCGCCGCTGGGCGATGGGCCTTTCGGGTCGCACGAACAGGGGGTAACAGGGGAAGGGGAGATCACGAAATATGCTGCATGCAGCGGGTTTCCACCGCTCAATGCTATGCTCGATGCATTGGCGTCTCTGACGCCAGGAGCTGCCTGTGGAAATTAGCTACGTGACCTGATTCGCTAACCCTCCCTTGCTAGTTCCTCGTTTCGTCCGACCCGAGACTCGGATGCTCTTCCTCGCCCACGTCAACCCGCTCCTCATCGTCTCCACCTCCTTTCTCCATGTTTTTTGTTCCCAGGAAACCAGCGCGTCGGATACGGGGTGTTTGCCGTGAGAGGCGAAGAAGAAAGAGTGTTTGACAAGAGGGCGCCCTAGGAATCATTGCGAGGTTGGTCGGCTATTCGGAGCAAGATTCGCTTCGAATGCCGAATCCTGTCGGTTTCGGAAACATGCCGGCAGTTTTTGTTCGAGGCAGCATTTCTCAGGGATTCGTTTTCCACGGTTCGATGCGATCTGATCCCACTGAATAATTGGCGCCTCGCGTATCCCTGCCCACTTGCCCCCTTTCCCCCTTGGCCCTGCCTCCGTTTGTAAAGCTGCCGGTGATTGGCACCGCCCGGCGACTTCCCGCCGTTCCAGTTCCGTCTTTGTGCCAGTCGCCGCGCTTGTCCCCATCAGTCGGGATGCACGGCTTGACTCAGCGGTCGCGTTGGGCTCCCGGTGCCTGCCGCCCACGGGCGTCCTCGTCGCCAATTCGCCGCCGTGCCGTGGTGTCCCCACCGCCAAGCCGTTCACGCCGGCCTTTGGCGTTTAATTCTGGTCATTTTGTCCCTCGCATGTGCACATGCCACTGCGGCCAATTAGCTTCGTTCGCGCCCCGTTCGGTGTTGACCCGCTCCCCGACATTTCGCCTGGAGCCGCCGACCAAAAAAATATCCCTGCCCACCACATCAAGAAAAGATGCCCACACAGGTTGTCTAAAGAAGGGAAGTAGAGAAGCGTAGAAAAGAAGCAAGCAGCTTGACAATGGTGAACTCGGAGATCTATGTGCCTATTGGAGTCCTCTTGGCCCTTGGAGCTCTCTCGGGGCCATTCTGGCAGCTTGGAGGCCCACAGGACCTTGTTGGGGCTCTTCTCGGCACATCGCGGAGCTCCCTTGAGCCACGTTGGCGCCATCTGGAGGCATCAGACACTCATCGCAAGCGAGAAGGTTGGAAGGCTAGCCTAGCTGAGAAGCAGTAGGTTCTTCCCCCGAACAGTGGTTGCACTACGGACTTCTGACCCGCGGTGTAAGAAATTTGGTTGGCTGGTCCTCTCTAGAAATCGCCCGAGATGAGCAGTTGACTAGCGACGCAAACTTAGCATGGCCTGCGGTAGGTACTCGGAACCTAGTGGGCCGGGCCCCGTCGCGATTCTCGAGGGGGATGGCTCGGCGGGCGCGCTCGCAGCCGTCTCGGGGTCGCCAGCTGACTTCTTGCTTCATTACTAGCTTGGCTCATTACACCACACACACACACATTGCACCGCACATATTGCAACATACACAGATTGCACCACACATCTTGCACATCGACAGTGAAAGAACTTGGCAGGGTCCAAGGGTCCATAGCCCCCATCGAGCCGTCTTGCGGCGTAATTGGCAATGGAGCACATTCGAAACATGTTGACAGCAGTCTCTTCTAACTCGGACTATGCTGTGACAGTTGGGAGGACATATCGGATTATCTGGGACCTTTTTGGAGCCACATAGGGCCCAAACTGGCCCTTGGACATTCTGAAAAATTTCAGTCCAGACCCCAGGGGAGAGGGGGTGGTAGGGGTGAACCACTCTACAAATGGGAAACAAGGACCTGTAAGAGGTAACCCGTTCAACCACATACGCGCAGAGGGTTGCTTAGATTATGTTTGATCCATTGTTTTGCTCTCTCCACATGGGTACGGGTCTCACCCATTGGGGTTGCACCGCATTGCCTTGTTTTCGACTCCGATGTTTATCCAGTTGTGTTTTTGCCGTTGACGCCGCCGTCGTTGACACAGAGATCAGGCGTGAGAGCCTTTGGCGGGGGATTCTTACAGGACACGATTGCGCCTGATTCCAGACAGGCTCGTTACGTCTATCAGCTTTGCACTGTGATAATGACTTAACATGGCGAGGTGCCGCTGCACCTCGCTCTCGTGTCGCTGTGTTTGTTGCAGTGCGGACTAGGAATGGGAGTGGAGCGGGCTAAAGTGCGAGAGATCGATCGGTAGAAGGTAAGCAGGCCAAATTCTTCACGCTTCGCGTATCCCCACCAGCCCATCTCAAAACAGCAACTCTTGCGAAGCATGCCGACAGTCGTGTTTTTCAGGCGTGTTTCCGCCTGCCCCCGCATATCTCCCTTGTTCCTCCTTCCTCCCGCCTCCTTGTACATCCTCCTTGTGGTGGGAGCGGGAGAAGGACGAGGCGGAGGAGGAGGGAGAGAAAGCGCTCCTCGTGGTTTGAGTCGTTTGGGGTTTCTCGTCCTGGTGTGAGTCGTTCGGGCCCTTCTTCCTGGTGTGAGTCGTTCGGGCTCTTCGTGGTGTGAGTCGTTCGGGCTCTTCGTCCTGGTGTGAGTCGTTCGGGCTTCTCGTGGTGTGAGTTGTTCGGGCCCCTCGTCCTGGTGTGAGTCGTTCGGGCCCCTCCTCCTGGTGTGACTCGTTCGGGCTCCTCGTGGTGTGAGTCGTTCGGGGCCCTCGTCGTGGTGTGAGTCGTTCGGGCTCCTCGTGGTGTGAGTCGTTCGGGCGCCTCGTCCTGGTGTGAGTCGTTCGGGCCCCTCCTTCTGGTGTGAGTCGTTCGGGCTCTTCGTGGTGTGAGTCGTTCGGGCCCCTCGTCCCTCGCTTGGCGGCCCCAGGGGCTTCTAGGAGCGTCTTGGGTGCCTTGGGGGAGCCTCTTCGGGCCTCTTGGGAGCCTCTTGGAGGCCGTTTGGGGCGTCTTGGGGGCCTCTTGGCGGCCCCAGGGGCTTCCAGGAGCGTCTTGGGTGCCTCGGGGGAGCCTCTCGGGGCCTCTTGGGGGCCTCTTGGGGGCATCTTGGGGGCCTCTTGGAGGCCTCTTGGGGCCTCTTGGGGCTCTTTGGGAGGGGTCTGGGAGGCATCTTGGGGCCATCTTGCGGGCGATCGATCACAGCTGGGGCGAGCATTTTTCTGCTTCCCCCCGTCGGGGCCAGAATCCTCGTGAGGGGTGTCGAATTTTAGCCCTCCCAGGAGTCGAAAAAGACCCCTCCAACCACCCGCGGGGCGCCCTCTCCAGGCCCAGGGGGAGGGGGTAGGGGGAGGGGTAAACCCCTCCCCGAAGGGGAAGAAGGGGGTTGAGAACAGAGCGGGCTCTCTAAACCACTCACGCCCAAAGGGCTTGTGGGATTGGTATGCGGAGATTTGAATCGGTGTAGAGGCGTTGAACGTGCATGAACGAGTGAATTGGACGGAGGTTTCAGATGCAGAGTAGGCTGGACGGTTGGAGGGAGGAAGTTACCCAGGCATGCTCGATCAAGGGAACCATATCCGCCGTAAAGAAGTATCATGTAAGAACGCGTATGTTGTTGTCTGAGGGTTCTGAGAGCGGATTCGTTGAAGAGTTAGTGAGTCTGCGAGGAGTTCACCAACTCGCACCGGGCGTTCCTTGTATGCGGGAGTTCCTTGTACGATCATTGTTGTTCTCAGGCCTTTTGAAGAGCGCCCGTCTACCACGGGGACGCTCGAATCACCATGGCATGGAATCTTAAGATTGGCAATGGCGATCCCTTGCAAGCCAGGTTGGGAAGCGTCCACGTGGGCCTGGGCCTTATGTGGGCGCACTGCGTGGTGCTGACGCTCATTACGGTCACCACATCTTGCATGAGCAGAGGGAGGATACGCTGAAGAGCCAAAAATGCACAGGTCTCTCGGTACGGTTCGTTTGTCGATTGCTAAGACCTTAAGGCCGGTGCCGCCGACCCTGAAGGCGGGACCTCCCCCGGAGCACCCGCTGGGACAATGGGGTTGGGCGGCATTCTGATTTGGGACCCCTGTCCCCCCCACCCACCCCGCCACACCCCACTCCCCCACCGCCCACCCCTGGCAGGGAAGGGATAAATGAAGTGGCTTCCCGTCGACTGAACTACGACAGTCTTTTTCCTTGTTCCTCAATTTCCTTGGAACTGACGACGACGACAGCGTCTTCCACACGCCGAAGGGCCCACGGATTTTCCAGGTGTCATCGCCACGGCCTCGTCCACTGCTTCTCGCCATCGGTCGAGCGATCGAGTGCCAAGTCAGCAAACATGCATTATATAGTGACGCGTGTACCAGCTGCATGCTGCACACATTGGCACCGTCCCAGAGGTTCAGTTCCAAGACCCGCACAATTCATTGCCTTGTCTGGACCAGCGCGGGTCGTAAACTCTCCCTCCTTGTCCGCAGCTTCGTTCTCGTCTTTTGACTTCACCTGTCATTTTCATCCTCATCCTGCTTCTCTCTGGAAGGTATCTTGCAGGCTTCTGTGGGGCCTCTAGGAGGCGGGCCTGTTTGGGGGACCGCGACGGTTTGACCGAACTCTCCCGACGAGGTTCGATGACGTTTGGGTGTTTATTGAGACGATCCCGAATCCCTCGTGAAGAGTTCTTGGACCGTCTTGGGCGGTTCTCGGGCGGCCTTGCGGCCTTTCGATGTCGTTTCGGAGGTTTGTCGGAGTTGCCTGAACTTCTCCCGAGGCGATCTGAGGCCGAATAGCGTCTCAAGAACAACGAATGGATTCTCTGTCGCCAGTTTGGCTCAAGCATCTGTTTGTCGTTCAAACGTGTTTGTTTTGTGCCTGAGGCAGTTTCCCTTTACACGAGTGGGTTCGCCATTTTCAGGCGATGCCAGCAGGCGTGCGCACGGTTCTGCTGTTGCTCTTTGTTGTGGTTTCTATTGGAGCTTGTGGGCTGGCTGCGCAGGGTGGAAGCTTGTGGGGCACACCTGGCACCGCGCTGCACCAGGGCTCACGTGCTGATGGTAGTCCCACGATTCGTTTGCATGCTCTCCAGCACAGCTTCGAGCAGGAAGTCATCATGATCAGAGTATTTCCTTCGGACATGGTCCCACTGCCCCCCGGCCCGAACGAAACCTCAGCATTGATCATCAGGAAGGACTTCCCATTCGCCATCTACATGGGAATTATTGGGAAGTTGCCGTTCCATTTCCGACTCCTTCCAGCGCGGCATCGTGTTCCAGCCATCCAGTTGCGCGAGCACACCCAAAGTGTCTACCGCCCACAAAAACGACGCCTTCACCAGCGACAGACCGACCAGTTGCGGCTCCTACCCAACATATCCAGGCACGAGCGGCGCATGCAGTTTCAGCGGCCAAGATGAGTACGTAGCCTCGTGTTTGGAGCATCCAGCGCAAAACTCCGTTCATCAGTACGGCAAATGCCTCTGCCACTTCAGCAGCCTGGACTCGGCGTCGGAGTCGCAGGTCGCATTATGATACGGCATGATTTCGTCGACGACCTTTCTACTCTTTGGCCCGCCTCTGTACGACAAGGTGATCGTGGGTCAGTACACGAGCGAAGGGTAGCTCGCAGCATTCTGGGCGCACCCAGGACCATTCGTGGACGATCCGCTGAAGGTGAAAGCGCAAGGGGGTTGTTTCACGAAGTCAATATTCGAGAAGATCACTTACATTCTGCCCGTTTTGAATTCGCAAACCTGGAAGCATGGACTCCGCAGAATGTCGACTGGCAGAATGCCGCATGGCATCTGGAGCTCTCGGTGGCAATGGTGGCACGGAGGAACAATGTTGTGAGCCAGAAAGTTCCCGACGCGATGAGATCGATGGAAATGTTCCTGCATTTTCTTGTCCTTTGAGCGCCCGCAATCGCAGTCGCCATCAGCTTCTCGACCCCAAGCGGCTGGCGCGCCGCCCTCTACCTGCCCCCCGCCCGCTGCCCGCGCGCCAGGGGGGCTGCTATCGGGCGAGCCCGCCCACGACTACGTCGTCAAGTTCGATGGCCTCGCTCACTTCTACGAGAGTCCGTTGTGGGCACGACCTGTTGCCTACGATTCTTCGGGCGACGCTTTCCTGCCAATTCCTGCCCCCGCGACCTAGCGGCGTGACAGCGCGAACCAGCTGGCGCATAGCATGCTCGATCGTCTTTTGGCGAGCACGCCGCGCCCGCCCCCGGGACTTGTTGTTCTCCGTCGCGCTGCTGGTCCTCAGCGCGCGCAGCCAATTACCAGCCCCCCAACGCGCGTTTCGGGCACTTGGGCTACGCAGAAGATTTGGACGCGTGGCCTTTTGGACTGGACGTCGCGGAAGCAATGTCGGCGGTTTGGGGGGCCCCCCTCCGCGGGCAGCGAGGCGGCGAAGTGGTTGGAACAGCTCGCATTATTCGCGAGCTGCGCGTCTCCCAGGCGCCTTCCGCGGCAGTCTGCACCAGCGGCACGGCCCCCTTCCGCGCCTCGCGGGCTGCCCAGAAGGCCTCGCCGACCTCGTCCGCGCAGCTTTTACATGGGCACCCGAGCGCCAGAACTGTCACTGCTGCAACGCAGCATTCTTCTGCAGCCGCCGCACGGCGCCCTCGCGACGGCTCAATTTGCCAATGTCGCGGACAAACATGGTTTCGGAACCATCGCCCAAGCGATCTTCGATCCTGATCGCATGTGCAACAGTGCCCCAGCTGGTCGAGCTTGGTCAAGGACTGCCTCGAGTCGGGCGAGGCCCGCTCCAAGCGCGCCCGATCAGGCGAGGCAGCACTCTATTTGAAATGTGAGTACGCGGGCAACGCGGGCGAAAAGACCCCCCCCCGCAGTGCCACCGACAGCAATTCGGACATGATCGCGACGCAGCGCTTCGCCGTTTTCGCGCGGACGGCGCGGAAAACGCGGCGCCCACAGCTGCAACTGCTGACGCAGAAAATGCGGGCAGCGGTCGTCCGAGACAATTTTCCAGAGACTCCTCGGACGCAACAGGAAGCCGGTCCCATTGGATGAGTTCGCCGACAACCCGTTCGCGCACGCGTCGATCTGGATTACAAAGCCAGGACAGCGGGGCGACGGCTGGCGCAGACGGAGGATGGTCGTCGTTGCATGTGTCCGTGACGAGATTCGAGACCCGGACCGTGCAAGTGCGGATTGAAGGGCAAGATGAGCCCGTAGATTTCCCTCAAGACCAAGGCTCCTTCTACGCGAGGAACCCGTGCGAGCTGGATCACAATGTGCGCCACCATGAAGTGCCCCCCCACACCTGCAACCCAGCGGCTGCAGATGACCGTCATGATCCGCTCCGACGGGCTTCGGAATTTGAGGGCACGCGAGGTCAATTCGGCACCAGACCCAAAGTAGTTTTTTCGAGTCGTCAACACTGCGGTGGCCCAGCATTTGGCCAGAGTCCCCGTGCGTCTGCCTGACCTGATGGAAGAAGCATCGCGGGCCGACCCGACGGCAGTGTTGGACGAGTATATCGGCGATAAGGCCTGCGATTGGTCGGATGATGCGCCGCTGACCGAAACAGCAGGTTCCCCGTCGTGGTAGACGTATATTGGCCCGAGTGTCCCAGCGACACAGTCTCGGCTTGCGCATCTGCGCGAGACAAATATCGCGTACCTGCCCCGTTCCTACACCTCCTTCGTTGACGATGATGAGGAGAAGGAGAGGGAAGAGGAGGAGGAGGAGCAGGAGGAGGAGGAGGGAGATGGCGATACCGATGGTGATGGCGATTATGGTGACGATGACGATGGCCTTCGTAATGGATGATGACGCAGCTGCGCAGCCCCCCGCAGATGCGGATAATTCTGAGGGGGCGGCGGGGACGTCGGCAGTCTGCGAGGCTTTGAAGAAGCCCGCCGCGGGCGCCTAACCTGTTTCAAAGTATACAACGAGCCCGCCGTAGGCGCCGTTTTTTTCGTTTCAGCAATTGTGGGTGGGTCGCGGGCCGGTCGCGGCCGGGTCGCGGATGGGTCGCGGGCCCGTTCGCGTGGGGGTCGCGGATGGGTCGCGGGCTTGGGTCGCGGATGGGTCGCGGGCGGGACGGGGACAACAAACAACGAACAACAAACAACGCAAGAACAACAACAACAACAACAACGACAACAACAACAATAACAACAACAACAACAATCACAATCACAATCCGCACCGCGGAACCTCACTTCATCCGCGCGCCCATGGACAGTGAATGAACGCTCGGCCCCCTCATGTTGATGATTTTGGCATTGAAAACCTCCGACTATCGATCGATCCGATGGCCCCGAAAAAATCGCGATGCCGACAGCCAGATAATGTTGAAGCAGCCAGGACAGACAGAGCCATGGAACTTGGTGCACGAGCCGCCTTCAACGCATCTATCAGTCGGAGGACCTTCGGCAACCTGAGCACGGTGGTTCCGTGTCGCGTTGACGCGGCGGCGACCCCAGCGCGGGCATTCAAGGTTGGCCGCCATTGGCCCGGAAAGGGCCGATATCGAACGATTGGCGTGATCGGGAAATTGCGATCTTTCAAAGTTGTTCGATACATGCGGTGTCAGAGATCAACTCTGACGCCGTCACGACACGAAGTTGCCGCGCAAAGGGTGGCCGTGGGGACGTCCAATGCTGGGAGGCCACAGCCGTGCCCATGAATTCCGCATGGCACGGCACGTTGCACAGTTTGCATGATACGGCGTGCACGGCGCACGTTTTTTGTTTGTCGGTGCCGCGCTGGGTTCTCGGCCACGCGGGTATGTTGTGGTCTGGAGAGCATTCCTCTCGTTGCGTTGTTTCCACGCCCTCCCCACTTACATCCTCACCGTTCTACCCCGACACTACCCTCTTGTTCACCCTCATCGGTACCCCTCTTCCCCTTGCACCTGTTCATGGTCCTCCTCGCCCTGGTCCTCGTCGTGGTCCTGTCGTTGTTCCTCCTGATGTTAGTGTTGTGGTGCCTCTTCCCGTTGTTCCTTCTTCTGCTCCTCCTCGCGATCCAGCTCTTAATAATTCTCCTCATCGTCATCGGCTTCATCAAGATCGAGCGTGCCGAAGGGTGACGGGAAGGCGTTCGACCTGCCCTGCTTGGTCGTGGCTTGCATGCCGTTTTGGGTCCCGCCCCGGCACGCGCTGGCGCTCCGCTGGGTGACGTTGACCCCACTGGCGAGGTGTTGCAGGCGGCCAGCCGCGCGGGAGGGGGAAGGCGGAGGAGGAGGAGAAAAATCAATGGAATAAGAGGGAAGCGTTGAAGGCGGAGGGGAGGAGGAGGAAGAGGAGGAGGAGCAGGAGAAGGACAATTTGTAGGAGTAAGAGCAGGACAAGCAGGGAGAGCAAGGACCGGGCGCGAGTGCGAGAGCGGGAGCGGCATGAGGAGAAGGAGAAGCAAGACCGAGGGGAAGTGGGTTAGCAGCAGCGATACCACGATGAGCAAGAGGGAGGATCAAGAAGAGAGGAGGAGCAACGGGAGGAGGAGCTAGGACAAGAGCCACGATGACGAAGAGCGGGAGAAACGGGATGACCAGGAGGAACAGTGAGAGGACCAGTAGGACCAGGTGCATCAGGGGGAGGGCGAAACGGAGGAAAGCGAATATAGCAGAAGCAGCGTGAGGACGGGGGAGATTCGGAAGAGACGCCTCACCAGCAGGACCAAGATAAAGAGGAGCAGGAGGGCATGCGGGGAAGAAGGAGGAGTTCTTGCTGAAGCGGGAGGATGAGGGGGTGGAGAGGGGGGCCTCGGAGGGCAGGATGAGGCGGGAGGGAGAAGGAGGAGGAGGAAGAGGAGGAGGACACAAAAAACTACCACGCCTTGCGGAGCACCCTGGGAGCTGAAGAGCGGGCACGGCTGCGCTCTTGCGGAGGGCCCCACGCGGCGGGCTTGCAGCTCGCCAGCGGTGGGCCTCGCCAGCGGCCCGAAGACGCCGACTACTACACCACGGCGCGAGCCCTGCTGGGCCAAGACACCGCGCCCGCCTGGGAGCCGCTGCGGCAACCGCCTGCGAACCGACGCGACGGCGGCGCCTGCGGGGCGGCACCAAGGCCCAGAGCCGGGACCTGGAGGATGCCTGGGAGCACATGCACCAGGAGTGCGGCTTCCGGACAGCGCGGCCTGCGCGGCGCGCGGCGCCGCCGACACCCCCCCGCTTGGGGGCGCGCGCGGCCTGCGGAACGGCGCTTGTGGCGGAACGGGAGGAAGCACTCCTGGACCTGGAGGCACAACGAGGAGACTGCCCCCGTTTCCTCGCTGACGTCACGGTCCGCTACACCGTCTCGGGCGACGCGCGGGCCCTGGCCGCACCCGCCGACGGGGACGGAGCGGCCAACGCCGCCGCGGAGGTCGACAAGCGGCGCCGCTACCCAGGGCACCGCGCGCCTTGGCCGGCGCTGCCGCTGGCGCACGAGACCGCCGGCCGCCGCGGGCGGCGTTGCGGCATCCCCGCTGGCTTGCGCGCGACCAGGCGCAGAGCCTGGGCGACGGCCCGGAAGCGGAGGCCGCGGCCAGCGCGCTGATGCGGCGCTCGGGCGCCGAGCTCAGCGCGGCGCTTTATCGCGCCGTCGCTCGGCAGTTCCGCACGGCCATGCGCGGCGAGGAGGCCCCGGCGACCGCCGCCCGCCTGGCGGCCGAGCTGGCCGGCTGAGCACAGGGGCGCGGGCGCAGGGGCGCGGGGCGGCGGTCGTGCTCGACTACGGGTTCTCGCTGCTGCTCTACAAGCTCAGGGCAGTGGAGGGCTAAGCGCGAGCCCTCTGTTAGGCGGAGGAGGAGGAGGAGGAGGAGGAAGAGGAGGAGGAGGAGGAAGAGGAAGAGGAGGTAGAGGTAGAGGTAGAGGTGATGGTAGTGGAGCGGGAGGAGGGCGACGACGACGACGACGACGACGACGACGACGACGAACTTCTCGCAGCCCTCCCCGCGGGCCTCCGCAGCATCACGCTCACCCTGCTGCTGGCGCCGTTTTCGCCGCCCGGCGCTTCTCGCATGGAGGGGGGGGTCAGGCGCGGAGGGCGGCCCCCAATCCTCCCATCCTCCATCCTTGCCCCCCCCTGCCTCCCGCTCGGCGTCGAACAGACGTGTGCAATTTTTCTTCGGCGAGGACCATCGTGGAGCATTTTGGTTCATCTAGCGAAAAAAATAAAGCGCACGAAGCCGAAAAACGCACGGGGAATTCACTTCCGAGCGATGGCAAGTGCTTGACGAGTTCCCCCGCCCACACTCCCCACGTTTCTGTTTCACTGCATCCTTTTCCCCCTCTCCCCCTCCCCCCCTTCTGTCCACCCATCGCCCGTGCATCCCGGGCTCTCTCCCTCTACCCTCGGCCGCCTGCTCCGCCCTCCCGCCCCCCGGGCCCCCTCGCCCTCGCCCTGACCGCGCCCTCGTTGCCCCCGCCGTTGCCCTCCCCCGCTCCCTCGCGCCCTCTCCCTCAAGGTCAACCTTGGGGCCAGACAGGCTCAGGGGGCCTTGCATCAGCCCCCAATCGCCCATTGATAGCTCACCCCGCCGAGGAACCTGCGGATTCGCTGTCGGGTGCCCATCGGCGGTCATCGCCGCTTCCCGCTCAACGTTGCCCCCCCCCAAGGGGCCGATCCCCATTGGTTCTCCTCCCCACGCGGGGGCCGTGCGAGCGGCCCGAGACGCCGCTGGCGGGCGCACTGGAGGCGGGCACGAGCACGCGCGCGCAGCGAGGGGGAAGGCTCGGCACTGAACGGGGGGACTTACTTCAAGGGCCCCGGATCCTGGGAGGGCACGTAAGCGCCCAGGATCGGACCCTGGAAAAATCGACAGGCCCAGGGAAAAAGATGTGTACGCACGTACCTGCCAGGGTACGAAACTCCCAGGATGGGCGATCCTGCTGGGGCGTCCGCTCCGCACCTGACACCGCCGACATGCATCGATGTGCTCGAGGTTACGCGGCGCAGTGGAGAATGGGTCGCGGAGCAGAGTCCACTTCGATCCGACCGATTCGATGTCGGTTTCGGCCGGCCCGATCCGCTCCGATCCCGATATTCGAAAGAGCGTGTTCTACCGTTGCTGGCGGAAAACCGGGGGGGGTCACTACCGGTTCGAACCCTTCCCCCCCCCCCTCCGGAAAACCGGCGAGGGTCATTACCGGTTCGAACCCCTCCCCCCCCCCCAGTTCATCATGAAAAGGGGGGGGGGTCACTACCGGTTCGAACCCCCCCCCTCGAAACCCGACGGGGGGTGCGGACAGTGGTGGGGACGGTGGTGGTGGGGACAGTGGTGAGGGGACAGCGGGACTGGTGGGGACAGTGGGACAGTGGTGGGGACTGTAGTGGTGGGGACAGTGGTGAGGACAATGGTGGGAACAGTGGGGACAGTGGACAGTGGTGGAGACGGTGGTGGTGGGGACAGTGGTGTGGAGACAGTGGGAGGTGGAAACAGTGGGACAGTGGAGGGTACAGTGGTGGTGGGGACAGTGGTGAAGGCGGTGGCGAGGACGGCGGTGGGACAATGGGACAGAGGTACAGTGGGAACAGTGGCGGGGACAGTGGGGACAGTGGTGGGAACAGTGGGACAGCTCAGTGGGACAGCGGCGGAGTCAGTGGTACTGTGGGGATAGTCGGGCAGTGGTTGGGGCCGTGGAGAAAGTGGGGAGAGAGGAACCGTGGTGGGAACAGTGGTGGGGACAGCGGGGACAGTGCGATAGTGGTGGGAGCACTGGTGGGGACAGTAGGAACGGTGGTGGAACCAGTGGGGACAGTGGTGGTGAGGACAGTGGTGCTGGGAACAACAGTGGGGGATGTGGCGCGGACGGTGGTAGGGACCGGGAGTCGTTTGCTGGCGGTGAGTGGGGGGGTGGGGAGGGGTTCGAACCGGTAGTGACCCCCCCTCCGGTTTTCGAGGGGGGGGGGGTTCGAACCGGTAGTGACCCCCCTCGGTTTTCGAGGGGGGAGGGGGGCGGGGAGGGGTTAGGAGAGGGGGGGGGTCTGCCGGGGGAGGGGAGGGGGGGGGGGGGGCGTCCAGCAGGGTGGGGGGGGGGGGGGGGGGGGGGGGGGGGGGCGATTTTCGGAGGGTGGGGGGGGAGGGACCCCCGGGTTCCGGAGGAAGAGGGGGGCAATTTTCTACAGCAAAGCGGCGGTGGATCACGCTCTCTCCGATATTCCGACGATCCGATGCGGCCCGATGTTCGCATAGCGCTGTTGTGCATTTTGGCGCGGCTGGCCCGATCCGGTTCCGACTCCGTGCCGATGCAGCCCGATTCGATGCATGTTCCGATCCGCTCCGATTTCCCGATTCGATACTGACTCATCCTGCGTAGAGGGGACCTGGCCCTTCGCGTCGCGTCGGATTGCTCGGCCAGCTTCGCGCGGCTGGGTTCTGCTGCACCAGCGCGGCTCGGTGCCTCAGAGCCTCAGAGCTGGGGCTGGCTGCCGTGGTGTTCTGAGGCAAGCGAGTCGGACACGTTGAGGGCCCCGCGGGCAGGGGCCTGAAGATTTTTGGGCACGCCGACTCCCGAGGGCCCCTCCCCACCACCCCCTTGCTTCCCCCCGGAGCTGGTCGGACCAGCGCAGGGGGTGGACGAGAGGGGGGGTTACCCCTCATCCATCTCGGGTCGAACGAAGGAGGGGGGGATTTGGAAAGTGGGGGTTACGAAGACCGCTGCATGCTGCTGATTTCGGCCCCTCCGCCTAGCGTTTTCCTTGGTGAAGGCGCCGGAAAAAAACAGCTGCGTGAGTTGCTTCGCTGGCCCGCCCTGTTTGACCCCCCGCCCTCTCATCCGACCACCCTCCCTTCGCTCCCATCTCTCCCCATTTCGGCACTCCGCCGCTCCTACGCTCTTCCTCATTCTTCCTCCATCTCCCCTGCCCCCCCCTTGGGGGTGCAGGACCACCGACACCGCATCGCCGCGCTGCTGTGGCTCATCGCAGCCTGCCCGCTGCAGTACACGGTGTCTGACTCAGGGGCGTGGGAGTGGAGAGAGGGGGAACGGGGAGGCAGATGGAGCCAGCGTCATTGTGTCGATCCAGGTTGCGTCGGGAGGGCAGGGAAGCCAACCAGCGGCTACATGTGAGTGGCAACGCATCGTATGCCTGTGCGGGCCTACACGCTTGCGTACTTCCCCTGACAGTGCTTGCACATGAAGATTCTCGCTTGCGTTCAGAGGGAATGGCCCTGTTTCCCAGGGTCGGGGCGCGGGTGTCTAACTAGCCTTTTAATGACCTCCTGAGCTTGGCCTCCCATGGCTTGCCTAGGGCTTCCGTATGACCTCCTGGCCCACTTGGCCTGTATCCCTGGGGTCGGGCTGTGGATGCTTGGGTTCCTATGGCCTCATTTGGCTCCGCCTCTGGTTCCCGCTGGTTTCCCGCACCCAGTGGCTGGGGTGTCTTGGTGTCGGCCTCCTACGGCGTACTCAGGGCTTCCCGCCCCATTGGCACTGTGTGCCGCGTCGGGCCGTGGGTGATCCGAAGGCTTGGCCTCCTATGGCTTCCCGCCCCGCTGGCTTCGTGCCCTTGGTCGGGCCGAGACTGCTTGGCAGGTCCATTTCCGACTCGTCGGTGCTCAGCCGCCGCTCTTGTGGATTCCTATGGTTTGGCAGCTTCCCGAGGGCGCAACGACACGATGGTGCGGCATGAACGGTTCCGTTTTCGAAGCACGGACGTCTTGGGCGACACGGAACACGGTGCGGCATGCCAATATCGGGAAGCCGGATCGAGAGGCTACCCGCACACCATTCAGAAACCCAAGAAGTGAATTCCATGAGGGTTCCCACCTAGGGAGGGAATCCGAGCGATTGTCGACAGGGTTATGCTTGCTGCCCATTCGTAATTGTCAACCCCCGCCCACAAGAATTCCTCAATTGCGGTGCGTGATCCTCTTGCTGGGGTACGACACCTACATCCCAATGTTCGTTATGTATCCGAGCGGTTATCATAATATGTTCAAAATGCCAGCAAAGTGAACCTCCGCTCTCCCATATGATATCCTGCCCTCTATAGAGGCCTCGTATCCGAGCAGCTATTCTGAAACATCTGATCCTGAAAGCCAGCAGCCCGGGGGTGCTTTAGAGGGTGAGGCCTCCCTCGTTTCCATCTGGGTCGAGCTGCCTGGCCCATCTCGGGCCCACCGTCGCATGCGCATGCAACGCGAAAACTTGCAGTCACAAGGCCTCGCCCTCCCATCCTCTCCCCTTCCTCTGACCCTCCTGGACGGACCAGCGCGACCAGCATGCAATCCGAGCGCAGATCGGCCGCACCGCCGTGGACAGGTCTCCCAGAAGAAAGATAATGAGCCGCTCTTTCCTTCCATCTTTACCCCTCCCTCCCTCCATCTCTGTCCGTTGGGGGGCGTACCGTCCCCGCTCACTCAGGCGACCGCCGGGCTGTCAGAGCTGGGGGACCCGCAGTGTTGTTGCGACCTCGCACAGCAGGAAGACGGAACGATCGTGCAGCAGGAGGGCGCGAGGGGATTATGTTCGTTGTTCTCTCCATCCTTCACGTCTGCATCCTCAGCATATCATGAGCAGCATGGTTGCCACCAGGCGGACCGACGAAAGGAGTTAATGCCCCAGCACGAGCCACACGGTTCTCCCAAGAGACTCGGACGGTCTGAAGGGTTTGAGAGTTCTGTTTTTCTTCTTCCTTTGTCCTGTGATTGTTCTTCCCTCCTCCCCCTTGCGCCGTCCTTTGGCATTCGGGCCACCCTGGATGTCTCAGCTGGTTGGCAGGTGGCCCGCGCCACCGTGGGGCTGGCGCTGCTGAACGGCATGTGCCCGTACCTCGGCCTGCGCACGCAGGCCGCGGGCCCAGCTCTTCCCTGGGGCCGTTTCATGAGGGCCACCAGGTTTTCCAGAGTTGATTGCACTTCTCTGCGCATGCATTGGATGATCAGCTTGAGCTTCAGTTTTGGAGGCTCAGCTCTCAGGCCTGGCGACACTCGGGGGCGCTTCCAAGGCGCCACGTGTGAGTAAATAGATAGCTGGGGGGGGCACCATGATGGGGCAGACCAGAATGATCCATCGTGTCTTCGTCGTCTCAGTGGCTCCTGGGGAGCTGGGGCCCTTCCCGAAGGCTAGATCTCGGCGAGGACCCCCAATACGATAACACAGAACGATCCGAGTTGTTTCTTGCGGCTCGAGTTCTGCCTTGCGAAGCGAGTCGACAGGAGTAACGGTATGTATCTTAAGCGTTACAGATTTCATGAGAATTGCGAGTTCAGATCTTTGTTATTGAAGCCAGCTCTTCAGTACGATGACGTCCTCGCCGCAGGACGCCAGCAGATGCGACATCGAGTCATTATTGAATCGCTTCGCTCATTCCGCCGGCCCGTGATCTGGCATCGCTGGTTTTTGTCTGTGTGTTCGTTGCCCATGTTGCGCTCTTGGGGGCGGGTGTCGTTCGGACGCGTTGCGTGGGGAGTTTTGATGGTGAAGCAGTTTCCTGGGGGTCGTCTCTCGATGGGGCGAAATAGAGTCGTCGTCAAGATGCTTCTTTGGGGGGCCTCTTGGGGTCTGTTGAGAGGCCGTTCGGGGGCGCCTGGGAGACATGTTTGAAGCCTTCTGGGGCTTCTTTTGGGCCTCCTGGGAGTCTCCTGGGGCCTCTTGGCGACATCTTGGGGCCTCTTGGAGGCCTCTTGGGGCCTCTTTGGGACCTCCTGGGCGCCTTCTGGGACGGAGGGCTCCATTTTTGAGTTCTCGGTATCCCTCCTGAGTCCCTCTTGGGCCCGTCTTGGGGCCTCTTGGTCCGTCTTGGGCGGCACTTGGGCCGTCTTGAGGGCTCTCTTGGGTCGTTTCGGCGCCGTCTTGGGAGCTTCGTGGGCCGTCTTGGAGCGGTCTTGGGGGCCTCTTGGGCCGTCTTGGAGCGTCCGGAAGCCGAAAAAGCCAGAACACAAAAAACATCGAAAAAACCAATGAAAATCAACGATTTTGGCCTCTTGGGGCTCTCTTCGGAGGCCTCTTGGAAGGCTCTTGGGGCGTCTTGGAGGCCTCTTGGGCTGTCTTGGGGGCCTTTTGGGCCGTCTTGGGGTCATCTTCGGCGTCTTCGAGCGCTCTTTGGGCGTCTCGGGGGCCTCTTGGGCAGTCTTGGGGGCCTCTTGGGGCACTCTGAGCGCGCTCTGGGGAGCCTGAGAGGCCGCACCCAGAAGGAAAACCATCTCTGAGTAGACTTGGTCGGGCGGCGGTCGGGCGGCGGTCGGGCGTTGGTCGGGGTACTTTTCGCCGGGGGACCCCCAGGGGCCGCCCCGCGCGCGCGAACTAGAAATACTGTTAATACTGTTAACCAGTTACCGGAGATCTTAGCACGCCCTGGCCCGTTGGGCCGGCGAATTTACTAACGCCACCGTGCTTGGGTTGTGGGTCAGAGTCCGCAGGGATGCGTTTTGGTCCATTTCGAAACGCTCTCGGAGCCTTCTTGGAAGCAGTCTGGGGGCCTCTTGGGAGCCCCATGGGGGCCTCTTGGGGGCCTCTTGGGGCCTCTTGCGGGCCTCTTGGGACTGTCAGGGCCTCTCGGTGCCGAGGGCTCGAGATGTCCGCTCGGGCCCCCGGTCTGGGCCCCCTCTTGGAGCCGTCTTTAGGGCCTCTTGGGCCGTGACCCCTTGTCGTGGCCCCCATCGTAACTGTGAATCTGTTTAACGGTGTCGTTGCAAAGGGTTCGGGACCCCCAATGACAGAAATGTTGCGATGCTCTCGGGCGTTTCGGGGGCTTCCCGCGTGATCTTCCCAGAGGCCGCGGGAATGCGGGTTGGGAGTCCACGTTTCGCACGTGTCGTAAGATGGCCCAAGGGCCCGTTTTGGTGTTCTTTTGGAGTCATATTGGGCCGTGGTGCGGCCCTCGGGGCTGGCCCGAGAGGCCAGAAGTATTGGAAAGCAAGTTGTTGAGTTCCCACTACTAAAAATTATCCCAGTGCGACCCTACCTAGGAGTTGGAGCATCTAGGAAAGCAACATCTGCATCTACACCGACAGCTACATTAACATCTACATCTACATCAACATCAACAGCGAGACTCACATCTACATCTACATCTACACCTACATCCTCATCTACACCTACATCTACATCTACATCTACACGTTCGCATTGGTGTTGCTGTTGCTTTGCATTGCCTTGCCTTTTTGCTGTTGCTTTCACTTTGCTTTTGTTGTTGTTTTTGCTTGATGTTGTTTTTGCTTTGCCTGCGCACAGACACACACACACACACGCATGTTTTCGCATTCGCTCACACGCATGCTTCGCTTTGCTTTGTGTTGTTTTGCTGTGCACCCAGCGACAGCAGGCTGTTCAGCACTGCTCGCGGCTCCTGCAAGTGCTGCAGGCTGTTCAGCACTGCTTGCACTAGGTTCAACACTGCTCGCGGCTCCTGCAAGAGCTGCAGGCTGTTCAGCACTGCTTGCGGGGGCTCCGGTCCGGCCATCGAGGCTAGCTCGGCATCTGTCGCACATTGTTTTTGCTTTGCCTTTTGCTTTGCTTTTGCTTTTGTTTTGCTTTGCGTTGCTTGTGTTTTGCTTTGCTGCTGCTGCTGTTGCTTTGCCTTTGCTTTGCTGCTATGCTATGCTATGCTAGGCTGCACTATGCTATGCTATGCTATGCTGCGCTATGCTATGCTACGCTAGGCTGCGCTATGTTATGCTAGGCTAGGGTATGCTATGATATGCTGCGCTATGCTATGCTATGCTGTGATATGCTGCGCTGTGCTATGCTATGCTATGCTATGCTGCGCTATGCTGGGCTATGCTGTGATATGCTAAGCTAAGCTAAGATGAAATAGGCTAAGCTAAGATGAGATAAGCAACGCTAAGCTAAGGGGACGCAACTGGGGGAACCGCGGGGCGGATGCAGGGGGAACCGCCCGGGGCGTTTTTCACTGCCCGGCCCTTTAAGAGAACACAGTAAGAACCCTCTAGACAGAGCCTAGGTAGGG